TAATGGTATGGTAATGGTATGGTAATGGTATGGTAATGTAATGTAATGGTATGGTAATGTAATGTAATGGTATGGTAATGTAATGTAATGGTATGGTAATGTAATGGTATGGTATGGTAATGTAATGGTATGGTATGGTAATGTAATGTAATGGTATGGTAATGTAATGGTATGGTATGGTAATGTAATGGTATGGTATGGTAATGTAATGGTATGGTATGGTAATGTAATGTAATGGTATGGTAATGTAATGTAATGGTATGGTAATGTAATGTAATGGTATGGTAATGTAATGTAATGGTAATGTAATGTAATGGTATGGTAATGTAATGTAATGGTATGGTAATGTAATGTAATGGTAATGTAATGTAATGTAATGGTAATGTAATGTAATGGTATGGTAATGTAATGTAATGGTATGGTAATGTAATGTAATGGTATGGTAATGTAATGTAATGGTAATGTAATGTAATGTAATGGTAATGTAATGTAATGGAATGGTAATGTAATGTAATGGTATGGTAATGTAATGTAATGGTATGGTATTGTAATGTAATGGTATGGTAATGTAATGTAATGGTATGGTAATGTAATGTAATGGTATGGTAATGTAATGTAATGGTATGGTAATGTAATGTAATGGTATGGTAATGTAATGGTATGGTAATGGTATGGTAATGTAATGTTATGGTAATGTAATGGTATGGTAATGTAATGGTATGGTAATGGTATGTATGGTATGGTAATGGTATGTATGGTATGGTAATGGTATGTATGGTATGGTAATGGTATGTATGGTATGGTAATGTAATGTATGGTATGGTAATGTAATGTATGGTATGGTAATGTAATGTATGGTATGGTAATGTAATGTATGGTATGGTAATGTAATGTATGGTAATGTAATGGTATGGTAATGTAATGTAATGGTATGGTATGGTATGGTAATGTAATGTAATGGTATGGTATGGTAATGTAATGTAATGGTAATGTAATTGTTGGTATGGTACATGGTATTGTTATGGTATGGTATGGTATGGTATGGGTAATGTATGGTATGTATGGTATGGTAATGGTATGGTATGGTAATGGTATGGTATGGTAATGGTATGGTATGGTAATGGTATGGTAATGGTATGGTAATGGTATGGTAATGGTATGGTAATGGTATGGTAATGGTATGGTAATGTAATGTAATGGTATGGTAATGTAATGTAATGGTATGGTAATGTAATGTAATGGTATGGTAATGTAATGTAATGGTATGGTATTGTAATGTAATGGTATGGTAATGTAATGTAATGGTATGGTAATGGTATGGTTTCATGTTACGGTATATGGGTATGTATGGTATGGTATGTTGGTCATGGTATGTATGGTATGGTGTATGGTATCGGTATGTATGTGTATGGTATGTATGGTATGGTATGTATGGTAAATGGTATGTATGGTATGGTAAAATGTTATGGTATGTATGGTATGTATGGTAATGCCTATGGTATGGTTAATGTATGGTAATGGTATGTATGGTATCGGTATTATGGTATGGGTATGGTAAATGTATGGTAATGGTATGTATGGTAATGGTATGTATGGTAATGGTATGTATGGTAATGGTATGTATGGTAATGGTATGTATGGTAATGGTATGTATGGTAATGGTATGTATGGTAATGGTATGTATGGTAATGGTATGTATGGTAATGGTATGTATGGTAATGGGATGTATGGTAATGGTATGTATGGTAATGGTATGTATGGTAATGGTATGTATGGTAATGGTATGGTATGTATTGTATGGTATGGATGTATGGTATGTATGTATGGTATGTTATGTATGGTATGTCATGTATGGTAATGTATGGGTAATGTATGGTACTGTATGTATTGGTATGGTATGGTATGTATTGTATGGTATGTATGTATGGTATGTAATGTATGGTATGTCTGTATGGTACAATGTATGTAGGTATGTAATGGTATGTATGGTAATGTATGGTATGTATGGTATGTATGGTATGTATGGTACTGTATGGTATGTATGAGTATGGTAATGTAATGTATGGTATGGCTACTGGTATGTTGGTATGTATGTAATGTATATAATGTATGTAATGTATGTAATGTATGTAATGTATGTAATGTATGTAATGTATGTAATGTATGTAATGTATGTATTGTATGTATTGTATGTATTGTATGTATTGTATGTATTGTATGGATTGTATGCATTGTATGCATTGTATGCATTGTATGCATTGTATGCATGTATGTATGCATGTATGTATGTATGGATGGATGGATGTTATGTATGTTATGTATGTTATGTATGTTATGTATGTTATGTATGTTATGTATGTTATGTATGTTATGTATGTTATGTATGGTATGTATGTTATGTATGTTATGTATGTTATGTATGTTATGTATGTGTATGTATGTTATGTATGTTATGTATGTTATGTATGTTATGTATGTAATGTATGTAATGTATGTAATGCATGTTATGCATGTAATGCATGTAATGCATGTAATGCATGTAATGCATGTAATGCATGTAATGCATGTAATGCATGTAATGTATGTTATGTATGTTATGTATGTTATGTAATGTAATGTTATGTTATGTTATGTAATGTTATGTATGTATGTATGTTATGTATGTAATGTACGTTATGTACGTAATGTACGTTATGTACGTTATGTATGTATGTATGTAATGTAATGTTATGTTATGTTATGTTATGTATGTATGTATGTATGTATGTAATGTATGTAGTGTATGTAATGTATGTAATGTATGTAATGTATGTAATGTATGTATGTATGTAATGTATGTAATGTATGTAATGTATGTAATGAATGTAATGTATGTAATGTATGTAATGTATGTATGTAATGTATGTATGTAATGTAATGTATGTATGTATGTATGTATGTATGTCTGTGTGTATGTATGTATGTATGTATGTATGTATGTATGTATGTATATATATGTATATGTATGTATATGTATGTATATGTATGTATGTATATGTATGTATATGTATGTATATGTATGTATATGTATGTATGTATGTATATGTATGTATATGTATGTATATGTATGTATATGTATGTATATGTATGTATGTATGTATGTATGTGTATGTATGTGTATGTATGTGTATGTATGTGTATGTATGTGTATGTATGTGTATGTATGTGTATGTATGTGTATGTATGTATGTATGTATATGTATGTATATGTATGTATATGTATGTATATGTATGTTCATGTATGTATATGTATGTATATGTATGTATATGTATGTGTATGTATGTGTATGTATGTGTATGTATGTGTATGTATGTGTATGTATGTGTATGTATGTGTATGTATATATGTGTATGTATGTGTATGTATATATGTGTATGTATATATGTGTATGTATATATGTGTATGTATATATGTGTATGTATGTGTATGTATGTAACGTATGTAACGTATGTAATGTATGTAATGTAATGCAATGTAATGTAATGTAATGCAATGCAATGCAATGTAATGTAAGGTAAGTATGTATGGATGGATGGATGGATGTATTAATGTAATGTTATGTTATGTTATGTTTTGTTTTGGATGTATATACTTGTAAAGTCACATTTTTCGTTTTTTCACCAAGCTTAGTAACCACTTACTAAGAGTGACGAAGTTCCAAGCAGTTGCCCCAGAAGAGGAAATGGGAAAGTGGCTATTTGTTTCGATTTTGGGGTACCCTCAATTGGAAGAAAGAAGTACTGTACATATTCTTGGCTAGTGGATTCTTGGATATTTGAACATTGGAAATAATGAAGCTACTCCTAATCGGATATGGAATTGGAAGATTGATTTGGGGTACCTCCATTTTCCCAACAAAGATGATGAATGAGGAACTCTTGGGGCATTACGATACGATCACTCCGATACTATGGGCCCAAAATCAAGCGACCGAAAAAAGCCCCGGTCGCCGTTTTCATGATTCTTTCGGTCTTTCCACATGTCAGGTTGGTGAATTCTTATACCCCCTGGTAAAAAAAAGAGTTTGCAAGCCATGGCCCAAGAAAACAGATCATTTGCCGATTAAAATGGTGATGTTCCAGTTCGCAAACTCTTCGTCATTACCAGAGGGTATAGTTCATATTCCATTCATATCCCCGTGAATCCACCATGAATCGTGCGATGATTTTCTGAAAAAAAACACCTATCAAGGTGATGGCGCCACCAAGCACCCAATGCCATAAACCATCCGAAATAGTCATGGTAAGTCTATGGCATTTGGGTGTCCCACATTCATTTTGAATTCGGAAAGTGATGTATACAGTTGAGGAATGATGGTTGGTAGGGAAAGTCGTCATTGTTGGCCAAACAGATTAGATTTGTTATTTATATGGTTCATTGTATTTTTTTTCCCCCCCATGAACTGGGATTTTTCTCAAGCCCTCTTTGAAGATATCCATCTTTAATGGGATAGTATGGGAGAATCATCTATAGATTTATCATGATAATATTCATGGGCGTTTCCCGCCATTCCGATTGGACTATCTATATACTCGCTGTATGGTCTAGATGCCATTGCCAGTCTGGTGTTCTAAGTCATGGTGGGTACACCGAAATCCCAACATAGACCATAACTTTGTATTAAAACAGCCATTGCGACGACGATCCCCACTTCAGAAAGCCCCCAAAAAGCTACAATGATATAGAATATTGACCATCGTTAAGCATCATTGACCATTAATTTCATGGATCAACCATTATTAATAATTGTTAAACCACTAATTAACCATTATCAACCAGGATTACCCACCATCAACCATTAACCACAAGAATACTGGTTGACCATCATTAACCATGATAATACTATTGTGGTATTAACGCTTTATTAACCATGAATTAACCATTGATCAACCGCATTTCCATCGCATCACCTCGTCCAGGAGTTGATGCCGAAGAGCTATGCGCGAGCCCGCCGGCTCAAGGGCTACCCGGTGTGTTGATTGACAGTTTGCTATTGAAAATCAGCCATTTAGTGCGATGATTTACCTATGAAATCTGGTGATGTTCAATCTGAACAAAGAGTAGTCGACATTCGAATGTACTTCTACGGAGATGGCCACTTTTGCTGAGTAAAAATGTCTTTGATATAGGCATGATCGGGATTGAACCCCCCATGTCCATGCTGTTCTTGTCGAAGGATCATGATCACGTATATACAAACTCTAGGTAAACCTTGATTGGGCAGGCTGATGCTTGGATGTTTATCAGGAAAAGTATGCGCGAACATTTTGGTGCACAAAATGTTGCCAGCCGTGCACATTTGTGAATTCAGCTGTGGCTTATTTGTTTTAGCCAGCCAATAAAAAGGGCCATGGCCCTTGATGTAGCAGGAACTGATTTTTCAGGGATGATCCCATATCCAGAAATAGATTTATCACATTTATTATATGGACATGTAGAATATGTGTTTTACAGGAAAAAAAACATGTATAATCCACAAATCTAACTGGGCAATACTGGGCACATTCCATGAATCTCATTGGATTATGATATGCATCACCTGTCACCACAGGTGACGCAGAAGCTCACGAGCATGGCTGAGAGCAATGCGGAATGAGAGCGCCGTCCGAACGTCAGATGTTGGGGTTAAACAAACCACCATGACTGGTCTATTTTTTCAAACAGAAATCAGGTGAGATACATGATGTGAGTTTTTGGAGAATGTTAGATACAAAGCAAAAACATTGGATACAAATGAATAGAATTAAGCATATATGGCTTCTTAGATCTCATTTTGTTGGTTCATGTTCAAGACAATGTGGTGGTTTCTTAAAATGGGGGGCCCAAGTTCTTATCTCAGAATTGTCATGTTTAAGAGGCACATGCAGTGCTTTCTCAGGATCGGAAACTGCCGGATTTAGAGTGGAATGGACTAAAATAGAATAGAATGGATCTGAATAAGACAGACTAGCATAGACTAGACTAAGTTAATCTAGATTATATAGAACAGAAAGAGCAGATGGATAGCGTTCGATGTGTAGATAGACGACGATTTGCGGTTAATCCATCGAACCATGGGCATTGAATTGTGATAGAACACATCGTCAGCTGGTTGGTGGTTTGGAACATATTTTTTCCAGAATATATGGGATAATCCTTCCCATTGACTTTCATATTTTTCAAGATGGTTATTGCACCACCAACCAGTCAGATCTTGTTCATCATTCCGAAACGGCCACTACACCTGGTTTTTCTCCCTTGAGGAGCTGGCAGAAAACCAACTCAAAACGAAACTGTGCTCAGCTCACCAAAGATATGCAACACGACATCGAAGGGAAGCGATCATTCGACAAATCCCTCAGGTGTATCAGAAAACCTAGTTAATTGCCATCTGAATGGGAAAAAACTGATGGTTTTGAGGTAATCCATTTTTCAGACACCGGAAATTGTGATTTTGGACCAGGGACCATCGCCAGTCCCTTGCTGACGGCTGCATTTTCCACTCGGTTTCGATATGTTTCGATGTGTGTTCTGTCCACAGGTCAGCTATGGATCGAGCGCCCGTTTTTTTTTCGGAACACGTTATGGGGAGCTCCAGAATTATGGAATTCTATGGAATTCTATGGAGACCTTAACCTCCCAGGTTTTCTTTAGGACTTCCAAAGTCGAGGAAAAGGCTTGGGTTTGAGTAGCTCCAGTACCTCAAAACCCCCATGAGTCGGAGAGGTTTTTTTTCAGCACCAGCACCATGCTCCATTGAAGTTGAGAACTTTGAGAACTAAAAAACTTGAAACCAGCCAGAATGGTGGGTATATAATCGAATCATAGATGTTCCACATATATGGTGAGAGCCTATGATGATATGTTCGAACATCTAGAACCACTATTTTGGTGTTCACTGTAGTACCAGGCTTTTGACCCACGGCCACATATCTCATCTCTTCCATCCTGCTTGGGATTTCACGATGACCACCAGAAGAAGATTGAATCACCACTGTTGGTTCAACACGTCATTCTTTGTGATTTCCGCACACAAAAGGCGTTCAGGAACTCCATGTGTGCTCAAGATCCGTGACAGGCCAGTGGCGGAGAAATGCCAAACCCTTTCGCTCAAGACCTTTTGTTGCAGAAAAAGGCCGAATCTCAGACCTGTGCTTTTTTTTGCAGCTTTGGATACACAACATTGCCATTGGGAAGTGTTCCAGTGAACTTGGTGAATAAATCACCATAGTTCTAGGGGCCTATCCCAGCTTCTTGGGTAATAAATCACCACAGCCTGCCATTTGTTTCAACTGGAACCCACAAGGAGCGGCTGCGGTTGCAGAAACGCGGCCTTTTTTTTTCTCAGTCGAGGCCGCTCTCCGTTGATTTCAGCACCAATCCTCTTGAAACTCCTGATGACTTTCCGCAATCCCACACGGCGCCTGCACATTTTTTTGTACGTAAAAGGTACACATTCGATTACAGACCCAGGATGCCATCAAGGATTTGCAAAAAGCGCCAAGAATCCCCAGTGTTTCTCACATTTGCATCAAGGATTCAGCAAAAGTCTGGTAAAGAAACATGGATGATATATGAAAATATCACACATGGATGATATATAAAGAAACATGTGTGAAAAATGTAAAATACATTAAAATACATAAAATATCGCCAAATCGCTGACGTCATGGGCCGGCGCTGTTGGGCTCTGGCTGCAGTGGCGGTCGCGGCAGGCGCTTGGGATAGGCTTCCATGTGGTGCCAATACGGCACCGAAAACCCTGGTTCAGTAGTTATGTGACTTTGTGGTAATTGAACAATTTTCTATTGAAAGTCCCTATTAAAATTATTGTTCAACCATCGAAACTAAATGGATATTTCTCATTGCTACGTTGAATTACTAGAGAGTATAGGAGGTTGTAGTACCTAGTATCTAGTTTATTGTGAACATTCTAACCCCCCACAATGGCTACCTATCGATCAAACAGTCATAAAACAGTCATATTAATTGTCATGGCTCAACAGAGCAGTTTCAATTTGCCTTATTTGGCTGTTCTGTTTAAGGGGATTTCACTGTCATGGCTTAGCAGGGGCCCCAACTGACAGTTTTTTAACTGAGTTTAAATCATGGAAAAGGAATGAGTTTTTGAACCATCGAGAAATGATGTTTGCTGATCGTGGGGAATTGAATTACCCGGCCTGGTAAACATACAAAAAGCTATTGAAAATGGCCATAGACATAGTGGATTTTCCCATTAATAGCATGGTGATTTTCCATAGTTATGTAAACGTTTACCAGAGGGTATACTCCCTGTTCTATACAAAGGGCATGGTCATAATCCATGAACTGGGAGTCTCTTAAGTTTTACAAGCCGATTGGCCCATTTCTTTTTGTAGTTTCATCATCACATAAGCTTATACAGTATACATATGTGCAAGGAGGGACCCCCTAGATATCTAAGTTGGTTTTTAACTTGGTTGACTAGGGTTTATGGGGGATATAACTATAGCGAATGGGGATTTAAAACTGGGGGGGCACCTTGTATATACTATTGGGTAGAACAATGAAAAAGCATGGCCAACCATTAATAAGGGACACCCATACGATAACATCACCGTGGTAGTAAAGATGTCCAAACTTCGCATTCTCCGCCAATCTTCAGGGCTTAAGCGGCTTATTTTCCCCAATAGTTGGGATGATGATACAATCTGACTTTCTTATGGAAATCAAAATCCTGCGCCAACGCCGTGCCGAAAACTTCGCAGGTTGGCCTGGCGGCAGTTTTGTGATTTCGCGTCAGGCGGGGACTTGATGAAAACACACCAGCCAATAAAATGGCATGTAAGCAACTATAATGACAGGTGATTTGGTTGGTGTCAATATTAATGGGGTATGCCCCCCAATCTATGGCCATTCCTTAAGAGGGATAAGGATGTTTTTAACCCAGGGGATGGCATATCATCCCATATCTTTCGTGCGTGTTAAAACCAGCCGAGCTGGGGAAAGAATGGGGATTCATCGATTTATCCCACGTCCACCATGGGTTGGGTGTTGAATATGCACAGGGGAATGGATGAACTTTCGTTGCATATTATAAACCACTAAATAGTATGAGACTGTATTAGATATCCCCATCCTTCATATCCCATTGAAATATATTAAAATTCCATATGTTTGGTGCTTAAACCCTATAAAACCCACACATTCTTACCATTAATTGAAGGTGGTTGTTTCAATTTATCCAGCTGGGGATGATCCCATTCTCAGCGTATCTCTGGCTGGGATCCAACCATATCCACCAAATGATCCTTAAATTTTCAGCTCAAACAATGCCAATTGATGCCATTGATCATGAAATTTCCAAGATCCCAACAAAATCCATGTAAGCGTTACTTCCCTCACAGCTGAAGGCATAGATGTCCTTTTCCGACTTATTCATAGAGTTTGATAGAGTGTTCCCCCATTCAATAACTAATGGGTAGATCCAGCACGTCGATTTTTCCTACAAGGACATACAACGACTTTATATATATATATATATATGTGTGTGATTGTGTGTGTGTTTGTGTGAAAATGGAGTACACCCTTAAAATTGATGTCTAATCATCGTTTTCCAATCTTTAATTTTTTTTGGCCATCCGAATTCCATCCGAACCGGCAAGTCACAATGGCTTTCAATCCTAAGTCATGGTCAGACTTGGATGATTTTGGGGGTAAACCATCTTATCAATTCTCGCACTCAGGTAGAATTCCGGAAGAGGGCGAAGAAATCCAACATTGTGGCTTCGCTCATGCTCGGAGTTGTTGCATCAGGCACTTTGGCTTCCTTTTACATCCCGGAGGCAGGGATCGTCTACCCCCTTCCTGGGGTTCATCTGAGGAATTCGTGAAGGCAGCCATCGACCCTGCTGGCACCGCTGAGTTGTACTGGGCAGCAGTGGCCATCGAGAAATTCAGGATGTGAAGCTCCTTGCCCATATCGATCCGGAGGCACTCGGTATTGACCTTTCGGTCTTCACTGCCCATTCAAGAGTTGAGCCAGCTCCTAAGATTCCTCCTGAGTATGCTTACTGAAGGTTTCGGCTTGGTAAACCCAATAATCATAAACCACATAGACCATCCCCAAGTCATCACCATGTTGGTGGTATCTTTACCATCCCCAGTTCTATGATTGGCAGGTCTCACGTGCTCCAGCCAGAGCTCCATGTACGCGGAAAAAACAGGCCGGGAAACCCGCTTGTTGATCATGAAAATGCGAGGGTGAAATGCATGAAAGTATGGAGGAATTGATGAATTGATAGGTATATAGTGGGATACACAACCAGCAATGTAATACTCTATATATATATATGATTCTTATATATATACACATATTATGTATCTATTATTTATAACACAGACTTGTTTACCTATAACACGTGGGACTGAAGTTGGTTGAAGTTGCGACGATCATCTGAACTTCGCAGACTGGGTAAGCACCCATGTTGAGTGGTCAAAGTATCTAAAAGATTCTAAAAGTGTTTTACGGCCGTTTAGGGGAATGGAATCTATTTCCATGAGGAAAAGAAGTGTCAAAAATATTGGTATTAATCCCATCCCCCGAAGATTGAAGCTATTGAACACCCCATCAATGGCCCCAAGATGTTTCATATGTAAATCCCCGACATCCACCATGGGGGATGATTCCGCATGCCCATCCTCAAAGGAAAGTTCATCCAAGAATCGGGTTCCCAAAAAAAAAACATGTGTTTATCATGTTCACACTTAGATGCCTATAAATTTAGGAAGTTTCTCTGTATATCTGGACAAAACCAAACGAGTTTATTGGGTATTTATTCTAAGGAAATCTGTTGACTGTAGACCCCTATCGTTTCCTCATTAATTCTAATCTCGAACTAGAACCCCATAACATGCATATGGATTAGAGTAGATTAGATTAAAATACCGTGTCATAGTTGTTTGTTTCGTATTAGTTTGAAGTAGATTATATTGTGTTATATTATGTTTAATCACATCATATTCAACTATGTTACATTTCACTAATGTTATGATACTATTCCATATATGTCCATATAATATTTTGTCATAATGGTTCATATTGCATTATATTGCATTATGTTGTACTGTATTGCGTTATATTATAGTACAATATTATATTACATTCCATTGCATTCCACTACATTAGATTATACTACATTGCTGGATTGGATTAAATTAGATAGATCTGGGCAAATTATATTGACGTCACGTCGTGACTTCACTGGAATCATGCTTAGTACGGGAAGTTATCCCAATATAGCCTTCTTTCAGGTTAGTGAAATAGTATAGTTTACTCAGATGAATGACATACAAATATGAAGATTATGTGGCTGAATATTATATAATATGGAAATATGATCGTTTACCCAATGACATACAGATCCGGAGATGTTTGAATAATTCACATCCCCTTGGTGACATGCCCAATCTTCTAAGTGATTTGCCCAATATATAAACAATGTGGGTAAAACGATATCTTTAACCATCCCCCAAATCACCATAAATAGGTTGTATAAACCATTCCCAAATGGGTGTGATTACCATAGATTTACCATAGATTTACCAGTGGTTTTGCCCATCAATGGTTACGACATTGTTTTAACCACATCAATGTTCCATTTTGGGATATTATGAATCGGAGATTTAACATCCCGTATGTTTTTTTCCGATTCATATCCCATATTTATTCCCCAAAAATAGGTGGTCTGGTTGGTGGTTTCAAACATGAATTTTATGTTCCATTTCATATATGGGATGTCATCCTTCCCATTGACGAACTCCATCATTTTTCAAGATGGTTGAAACCACCAACCAGTATAATTGCTTATAATATTTATATAGCATACGGGACATGTATTGAAAAATCCCATCTTGAAACCACCTGGTTGGTCGTATTATAAGCAATATTGATATTAACCAATGATTGACCATCATTAACCACTATTAACCATAATTAACCACTATATGGTTATAACCATCCCAGAAATAGTGGTAAATCATTAACCACTATATTGGTTATAACCGTCATTAACCATCATTAACCACTATTTTCCGGTATAACCCATATAATTATCCACTATTATCCACTAGTAACCACTATTAACCACTATTAACCATCATTAACGAATCATTAACCAATAATTAACCCATAATTAACCAATAATTAACCCATATAATGTAATCCAAAATCCCAGAAAATCTGCTCAGCTGTAAACCATCCCAGGTGGCCAATCTGCGCAGCTTCACCGGCCGGCCGAGCCGTGCTCGAGGCAATGGCGTTTTAGGGGATGTATTTGTCGGAAATGATTACATTATGTGTATATATATATGTATATGTGTATATATATATGGGATACATGTTCAACAAGAATAGAATATGGATGTCTATGGTGATTTACTAGGAGATTTCAAACCATCAACAATAGCAATCAAAGTCCATGAAAGTGTCATTGATAACCATGAATTTCACAATCATTCACTATCGAAAACAAGGGTTTAAGGAGTTATGATCATTAAGAACCCTCAATCACCATCATTATATAGCTGATACAATGTGGGCATGTGTGGGCAACTCGGGGAAGAATTGAAATGAGAAAATGCACATTCACTGGATACACATGGGATTCAATTGGTCAACCAATGCCGTAGTTTCAACGGCTTTAGCCAGAGAAGGCTATCTTGGAACCCATTGTTCGTTCATGAGACCTCTTCGTCGAACCTGCGCTGGCTGGGATGAGGTCGGGAGAATCTGCAGCAATGTCCCATAGAATGGGGTCAAAAGCCTGCCATGGTGAACTTCCATGCCCAGAATCAGTTCATGATTTTTTGAAAACATGCATGTCTTAGTTCTTACTTTTTCGGGGGAAACACATTCATGCACTTGAATAACACCTGACCAACAAAACCATTTTTTATTTCAAACAACTATGACTTATGTCTGTTGGTTTTTGATACCTTATCAAACTACAGGCCATCCAAAGTCCAACATGCCTAGATCTGCACCAAGAGTTACCTATCCAGAGCGCCTCTGGGGTTTACTGGGTTTACTGGAAATTGAAAGGACACTGGGAAAAATGGAGAAATGGTTGATCTGGAAATGGTTTTCAATAACATTCAGATGGTAATTATTTCATATTATTTCTAGATGCTATTGCACTATTGAGATTCATTGAGATATTTATTGCACTACCATATGAATACCTACCATTGAATACCTACAGTTGATAGTGATTGCCATTGGGTCATCTACATAAACCAGCCCCTTTTTTGGTATCATTGTGGTTTGTGTATTTGGATTTAAATTAGGAAATACTTATGTTTTAAAAAAATAAAAAGTGTGGCATGGCATCAACTCATCTGATATTGAAGATCAAGATGATGTTCCCAATGCCCCATTTTTGGATACTTATATATAGGTATTGTCACTTTCCCCAATTTAAATATGGCTGTATTGTCAGTTCCCTTACTATCAATCCACAACATGCGTTGATATCCCTATGAGAATATCCATCGTAGAGGTTCTACCCATCATTTTTGTGGTTTTAAGATGCTTTAAATCCCAATCCAAAACCGCAAGAATGGAGTACTCTCAAAATAAAACAAGCTTTCTCACATGTTCTGTGGTTTATCCCCACGTAAAACATGATTTTTTTGTAGGTCCCCACGGCTCCATGACGCACGCGAGGCGGTCAGCGTCCAGGAAATGTGGTGGCGCGGCGGCTCTTTGACTCAGGCGCCATTGTGGACGCCAGGAGATGTTAAGCAACACTAATTATGGTGGTATTAATAGGATATACCATCTGGTTATTTAGCAGTTTGCCATGGAAAATCACCATCTTTAATAGGTAAACCATCTATTTCTATGGGTCATTTCCCATGGCTATGTTAAATAACCAGATGGTAGTGGGAGATAATTAGTGTTGCTGAATATAAGTGGGGGATATAGTGGAATATTGGTGGATACCCTCGGGTAATCAAATATTCATATTGGAATATCTCATTAATATTAATGTGGTGGGATATTCGTGGAAGATTTTGATCAGACATTAATGGGATATAATATAATGGAATATCCATGGAATGTTGGTTGATACCCTCCGGTAATCAAACATGGCTAGCTGGGATATTCCATATATTGTCATGTTTGATTACCGGAGGGTAAGCTGCCAGAAAGGTACGGATTTATCCAGCCAACATGGTGATGTCATCATTACGTTGTCATCAAAAATTAGCATTTATCATCCCTCCAAGTACAAAAGACTCTATGCATGATCTATGTCAAATGAAATCATCCAAGCCTAAACAAAAATCAGGTTGGATTCAACTTGATTGATTAGGAATTGCAGCTTCAGAGATGGGCCATGAAGCAAAAAACGGACAGTTGACCTGCAACATTTTTTGGGGAGACATCAAGAAGAATCAGGTTATTTGTCCCAGAATGGTGATTGAAGCAAAGAGATTGGGGATGTCTGCAACAGTGGAGAATTCAATCATCCTGAAAGTTGGCAAACAATATCACCAGCAGATGGGGAATTTCGATCAGCAAATGCATAATTTTAAGAAGCAAAAGCCGGTACGATTTAAGCTGCAACAAAATCCAATCCAGGAACGATCATCTGCAAAGTGGTTTTTGTTGGGGCTTCAAGCTCGTTCACTTCCCTTTTTGTGTCTTTGGCGTTGTACAACTGTTCATTGACTGGTGATCTTCGAAACGAAGACCTCCCTGACCCAGGCAGTTTCTTCGGTGTGGGCGTGCCGGAGGCGCTGGTCATTGCCCTGTTGGGTGCGGAACGCCCGGAGTCCGTCGGGACGTGACGTGTTGCGAAACAGATCTGTGGAGATACGGTAGAGGTTTCCTAAGCCATGGGCGTACCCGAATTCATCCAAAAATAGACCATTTGGTATTAAAGCCCACGGTTTTGGAGATCCCAAATTTTAAGAAACTCCCATAGTTCTGAAAATAGGGAGTCTCAGAATCATCCTGAAACTGGTCCTTTTAAGCGAGAAAAAGTGATGGGTTGTAAGAGAATAAGAAGGTGGTGTCAACAAGGTTGGTGGGGTTAAGAAAAGACCCAAGCAACCCCATGTTTGGCTGTAATGGGAATACACTAGGGGATATTTTAGGAGGATTATTGGCCATCATGGCCCAAACAGAATCAATATCGACAACATAAGGGTTGAACCACTATGAGCTCCTAACAAAGGGTTTTACCAACCAAAAATAGGGAGTCATGGGAATTTACCTGGTAATGGAAACAGCCAGCACAGCCAAGAAATAACTTCTTGGTGGTTTCAACATACTGATCATCTGATCATAGGAGCCCAACTGGGTTGCAAATCAATGGTTAAGAAAAAAGGGTTTTTCACCCCCAGTTATGGCCATTTCAGTGGAAAAACGATGTGCTTTTGGGGATGGCTGATGATTGCTCTACTAACAGAAACCGCACACACCCCGTGCTTTGCCCGGACTGCAACATTGAGGATGTCATGTTGTCGAACATGAGAGGAAAAATTGCAGAACATGATAGGAGAGATTGCAGAAAATATTGCATATGTGCAGCGTTTTCTGGTTTAGGATTCCAAGCTTTCAGGGTTTCGGGGTTTTAGGTTTTACAGTTTGAGGGTTCAGGGTCTAGGGTTTGCCGTCTAAAAAATCTCAAAACACTGGCCCTGCGTAGGTGTTTGAGCATGTTAAAGGACAATGCGGACTGAACACCCTTTGAACCTTCCGGGCAAACCATAGGGTCTTGCCGTAACATTTCGACCGTATAGGAAAACTCTTCGGTTTCACCCAAGATGTCCTCTCTGAATGATGGTCGATCTGAAACGCATCGTAACGATCCGATGGTGTACAACATATCTCAGGGAGAAAGACCAACCACTCAAAATTGACGCGGCCCTTTTCAACCCAGATGGGGTCAAAACCTTTGATTGTCCTCTATATACACACCTGTCTAATTGATGATATTCTGTGAGTTTTTTCACATGCATGAGAACCCTGCCTTGAAAACAGACAAGACGGACTTTGGCTCTGAGATGGAGATGATGGTGGCAAAAGAGCCCTTTATCGTTACCCTCAATATCATATGCCTAGAGGTACAAAAAGCCTTTCTTCACTTGAATCTCCACTGAGATTGCAGTGGCAGAAATTGCGTGTCGCAGGGCGAGTGGTCACTGCTGGATGTTGTGTCTTAAGATGCAAATCGGTGGCGAGCCGTTGAAAGCATTGCAAAGAGCTAGCTAAAACCTGGATATCACTTAGATTAGGAATAGACTAATCATACCACATGACGGAGATAAACCCCGTTGTTTCCAAAAAAGCAATATGTCCCATGTCTCCCCTTGACGGTTGTACATATTATACATTTATAGTATTATAGTTTATACATCTACAGTATTATACATCCAACTATAGATATATATTGTATACATATTATATAGATACATTAACACTATAGTGCATATTATATATCTATAGTATAATACATATATATATACATACAACTGGACCACTTGGACATGGTGTATCACCGCCTCAAGTTCCGCCGGTACCCAGGTTGGTTCTTGCTGGGGCCTGAGGAGCTCTACAAAATCTCCAAACAGGTGGGCGTAAAAAAAAACGTGAAGGGCTGAAGTGAAGGGAATAATCATAGTATAGTGCTATCTATTAATAGTATAATGGCATGATGGTATTTAATGGATTACTATGATGATTTGAATGTTCTCATTATGGAATAACAAGTAATCCATGAGAAATTCATCTATACAAGTGATATTCCGTTATCCACACAAAATATAGCGAGGACAAACGAGGCAACGAGGCAGGTTGCAGGAATTAACGAGGTCAACCCTTAATTTGGTTCTCAGAATCAGCCAACCTTGACGAGGTAGCCTTGTATGTTTGGACTTGGCGAGAAAAACTTTGGGGGCTCCACAAAGTTTTATTTTGCATCAGGATAGGTCGGGCTGCAGGTGAGGAAGGAAAGAAACTTATCAATGTGAAAAAGTTATTTCAACACATTCCAGTCTGGCAGCCTTGAAGCGAGAGGTATGATAGAGATACAATGTTACTACAATGGGATGCTAATGGAAGGCCAATGGAAGGTTAATGATGTTCTTAATGATGATTGAAGAGATATACATGGATTTACCCTCCGGCAATCACTTCCATGGCAGTGGAAATCCCTCATTGATAAAGATTTTCCCAGCTATAAACCTCCATTTAGCTCGGGGATTGCCAATTGCCATATTTGATTGCCAAAGGGTAGTTGTTTTTGTTTTCCATGTTGTATTTTTTGCATGTTCTAGTTCTACATTTGGATGTAGATGTAGATAGCTAGGTTGGCAGATACATCAATGGACCGATCTTTTGATTACAACCCAGTTGGACCTGAAATGTGTTATGTTGAATGTTCCATGATGATTCAATACCCGCATTGAAGGATTCCCGAAACGTTGATCATCGAAAGGTGGCGCGCCTAAAAAAAATCACGCATTGTTTTGTTTGTTGTTGATTGAAACCAAGGGACACACACACACACATATTATAGGTTTCTGAATGGTTTGATTTGTAGTTGTTTCGGGAAAATACTTCCCGGCAATCACAAGAAGGTGCGTTAATCAGCTGGGATAGTTTGTTACCTCGGATCAGCCGGTGTATCATTGTTGTTTAACAATGTTTAACATCCGTTTTTTATTGAGGCCAGGTTTTGGTTGACCTTCTCTTGAGCGGTGGTGTACCCGCGAAATCTTTTGAAAAAAATACAGCAACGAGCACTTATCGAGGAGATGGCCTCTTTCTGCCATTTAAATCAGTTAAATCTTCACATTTTTTGGTTGGTGAGGATCTCAATTTGAAATGTTTACCATGTGAAATCCCCATATTTTGCTCGTTGAAAAATTGCTAAAGCCTCAGGTGGGAGGCTGGTTGGGCGAGCTGCGAACCTACATTGGGCAGGCCGTGGCTGGAAGAATCCCCAAATGTTCATGGTTGAATTTGGTGATTGAATGGTTGATCATTAGGATTTACCCTCTGGTAATTTAACATAGCTATTGAAAATGGCCAGTTATAGTGGATTTTCCCATTAAAAATGGTGATTTTCCATAGTTATGTTAGTTTACCAGAGGGTAATCCCGTTGAAATCCCAATTGATGGTGATTCAATTTCAATATTTCAATGGGATTTAAGCAATGTTCATGCTGATTTATTGGGATTTCATGATGATCTCATGGGGGTATACCATGATATACCCCCGGTAATGTGGCGGGCCGCTGAGAACTTCCCGAACTACATGGAGGTTTAGTCCGCTGGGAAAATCAACGAGCTAAATGGTGGATTTTCCCCACATCTTTCTGTGGGGTTCTATCCCGCTCCGCCTCCTCCTCTGCACACAACATTGTCACACACCATCGACCTGCGTTCTGCGTGGCAGGTGTGGCACTTGCGTGGCAGGTGTAGCACTTGCGTGGCAGGCGTGGCACTTGCTCACATCCACCTGCGTTTGGCGTGGCAGGCGTGGCACTTCTGGCACTGGGCTGGGTCTGGTGGCGCGCCTGGGCGCCGTTAGTCGCCCGGGGCACCGCGGCACTTTGCGTGGCAGGCGTGGCACTTGGTGACATCGACGTTCCATTTGCGTGGCAGGTGTGGCACTTGGGCGCATCCACCTTGTTTTCGCGTGGCAGGCATGGCACTCATGGCACTGTGCTCAGCACTTTCACGCACGACATTGTCACACACCACTCCTTCACATGCAATTCTTTCACACACCACTGTTTCACAAAAAACTCTTTCACAAAACACTCGTCTTTCACACACTAGACAAGAAATGGATCATTGAAGTGATCCGATGGGAACTGAATCCCCTCACATGCAATTGGATTAGAAAAACGGAAAACACATGGCAGGTACGTCATTCTGGCATCCCAAAATAATTTCACACTTCTGAACAGGCGTCTTCGTTGGCCTGAGTCCTGTTGAGAAGCCTCAGGCCCCCTGCATCTATGGGCGATGTCAAAAGGTAGAAGGTTTACATCTGTTCAGATGTTACACACACACACCCACCCGGCCGGAGCCGGGTCAACCCTGAAAGGCAAGAGGAAGAGAACAAGCGGACACAAACGACGGGCAGAAGGCCAAGAACAGTGCAGGGAGGGAAGGGAACAAACGGACTTCCAGAACCAATCTACACGGCGAAACAGACCTAACCAGCACAGGGCACACACCTAAACCCCACGACACATTACAGAGGGGCACGGGGGAGAAATTAGGGACCGAATGGGGGACTAGTTGGTGACGAAAGGGGAAACAACAAGTTATTCCCAAAACGGGACCGTTGTCGATCAAGCCACATGGGCACAAACGGCTGTTCAAGTTCAACCGAATTAGATGCACAAAGTGTTTGACCTCACCAGACAACCACCAAAAGAAAAAGAACCACACCTGGAAAGCATGAACCTGCCTGAGAAATCCTATGTGCTGCATGTTGCATCCAACTCTTGGGCAGCACTGAAAAACGGTTTCTGGTTGTTCGGCACGGCTTCAAGCAAGAGGAGATGCAGGCTCCAAAGATTCTTAAAAGGACAGCAGGAGCGGCGAGAGGTCACAAAAAAGGTGAAAAACAGCAATGCCGATTGTTGCACTTTACGTAAACGAATTACTTAGCTAAAATTTGTGAATTCAGAAGTCAGGTCAGTCCACATTCACCTTAAACAAGGTTCCCTCAATTGGGTCCATGGCACCATGTCAGGGACACCATGGAGATCACACTAGACAAGAAATGGATCATTGAAGTGATCCGATGGGAACTGAATCCCCTCACATGCAACTGGATTAGAAAAACGGAAAACAGATGGCAGGTACGTCACTCTGGCGCCCCAGAAAAAAAATCACACTTCTCAACAGGCGTCTTCGTTGGCCTGAGTCCTGTTGAGAAGCCTCAGGCCCCCTGCATCTATGGGCGATGTCAAAAGGTAGAAGTTTTACATCTGTTCAGATGTTACACACACACACAACCAACTCTTTCATATGTACAACTTTGGCACACCGAACTCTTTCACACACACCTCCTTTGTCTTTCTTTCCTTCCTCGTCCTGTTTCAACTTCTGCTTCTAATTATTGGAAGAAGTCGACTTGTGGGTTTATCCGGTCATTTACCACATTTGATTACCAGAGGGCATCCAGAGTATTCATTGGTTAAAGACCTAATGTTTGATCCTTGATGAAAACACAATATTGTTTTGCTATTCTGAGGTAGTTTTCCTCTGAAGAATCGTTTATCATCATTTTCCAGCTAAAAAGGGGCGCAGTTTGCGGGTCTTCCCCATTTTCAAACACGCCCAATTGGGTCCCTTCAACCCCTGCTTCCACCATAGTTTTCCTAGAGGCTTCGACCACATCATGGTCATCCTATGTCAACTTTAAGATCTACGGGTTGGATCTGTGATCATTGGATGAAATTCATGAAACTCATGAAACCCATAAACCCACCATGTGGCGTCGGTTCTTTGCCTCGAGGCTGCTCGACAGTATGAATCCGCTTTGGATGATAAGAGCACGTGGGGACGCCAAGTTTGGATGGCTGGTGATGGTGATGGCATAGTTTGAGGCCCACTCAAATGGTGAGTTCCTTTAAGGAATTTACGATTTGATGATATTTGATGTACCAAAATGAGGATTTGACCAAGAAAAATTGTGATTTTATGTGTATATTATATATATATATCATCAGCCAAAATGCCATAAATCACCTGCAAAATTTGTGAGTTTTGTCGAACGTGGGAGCTGGGAGTTCAACCGAGATACCTTCAACCAAAGGCAGTTCGGAGATCAGCCTTGAGATTGATTTTTTTCGTGTGAAACGAGGACGTGGGGATGGGTCAAAAGTGCCAGGTCGCCAATTTTGAGCTACACATAGGTCAGAGTTTTTGCACCTGTGCAAGTGGAGGGAAGTATGTGGAGGCGTCCTAAAATGAGAGGATACCTATGGGTACCCTAAATCATCTAAAAGTTCGACCCGTTTGGTATATGTACGTCATCGTTTTGGGGATCCCCATTTCAAGAAATCCCGCCTGGCACCGGCGCTGCTGCAACGACGGCGCCGCCATCGAAAGACTTGCTGGCGCAGATCTCTGACCTCACGAAGCGAAGAGCAGACCTGAACAAAGAAAAGAAGGTCCCCAGCAAGAGCCTGAAAATTAAGCAGAAGATTCTCCAGCGACTGAAGAAGACCTTGAAAAAGTTCGATGATGAAAGTTTGGCTGGGTTACTGTCGCTTGGCATTGCAATGAGACAGCCTTAGAGTTGGAACTGTTTTTCTCAGCTTTGCCGCGGAGCTGCGACAACCAGGGTTTTGGGAGATTCTTTGAGGCGCAACATCCCAGTTCTTTGCATTGGGTGACTAGGCGAACTATCACATGTTTGACCAATTTCACCATCTGGATCTTTGGAAAAAATATTTTGCTGTTGGCTAAATGTTCCATGGTAGCATCAAGTCGGGGGCCGGGGTCGGGAGATAAAGAAGACACCCCATAGCTGAGATGTTTTGGACTAGAACCACAGATGTCGGTGCTCAAGTCCCACCAGAATATTTGATATGGGATCCTCCACAAATATTACTTAAACTTGTGTAGAAAATATGTGCATGGCAGGTGGTTTCACTTCTTCATGTTCCCATCTTTTCCATCTTTCCAATATGCTTCCATTTTCCAAGATACCAAGATACTCGTACATTCCCCATATGTTTTTCCATATGTTTCCATGTGTCCCATAGGATTTTCTTCCATCCATTGGGATGAGAACTCAGCTTAGGAGACAGGCCATTGAGGGCTTACGCCAGCAGGGACACCCAGAACGGGGGAATCCAGGCGTTCGCTGGGAAAATCATGCCGAAAAAACGATGGAAAAAAGATCGGAACATCTCTAGAACTGATGGTTTACAATGTCAATTGGGATCATCCAACTCAATGGGGAATTGTCCAGCCTTTGATTAGCAGTGGGATCGGACAAGTCTTTGGACACCCGTTCTCGATACGACAACTCAGAGCTTTTCCCAGACGTGGAAACACGGCCATCACCATCATGTCATTTGGCACCCGGGGAGCTCACTGAGATTACACCCCAAAAATGTTTGAGACATGTTTTAGAACACCAAAAATCTGAAAATCAGGGAGCGATCCAGCCATCTCCAAGCCGCTCCCATGGATTTCCCGCTTTTCCCATAGGCTTTTCCCCAACCCATCGCTGAGGACCCAGCAGACTGTCTCAGAACTGGCTGGCTCCTGGCGCACCCCGACAAGATCGACTGGGGAGAGGGAAGCAGCCGGAAGCATGGTAACCATGGGTCAATCATAATGATTTACCCTCTGGTTATTTAACATAGCCATGGGAAATGGCCCATTTATAGATGGTTTACCTATTAAAAATGGTGATTTTCCATGGCTATGTTAAATAACCAGATGGTAATAATCATGATTTCTGATAATCATATTTAAAAATGTATAATATGTATGATCATAGTTATTTAATGGGATTTGAATCCTGATTCGAGAGTTTCCATAAATGGGGGATCCCCGAAATGGATGGTTTATAATAGAAAATCCGAAAATTAAATTCATGATTTAGAGGTACCCCCATCTCAGGAAACCTCCATGTGTGATAATATATCAATATATCTCATATGTATGGATCATAATCATTTAATAGTTATTTTTTAGAATCATGGTTGGGGGATACCATGGGACTCCAGTAACTGATGGTGTTCCAACAAAAGACAAACTTTTGATGAGAAAATGATAGGTCTGATAGGTGATTTGGACTCTGGTCCCATTGATTTTATGTGCTGGCCATGATAGCAATGATTCAATGATGGATGGAATAGGATCATCCCCGAACGGCTGTTTTTTGTTGTTTGCTATTTGAAAAGGCAAGTGAATGTTGATGAAGCCAGACAATCGGTCAGTCATCATGATTGTGGGATAACGATACATGTTGTGTTATGAAAATCGGAGGATCCCCGGGCGCCCCAAGTTCCACGCCAGAAAATTGCTGCAAAATTGGGCAAAGAGATGGTGGAACATCCATAAATCCCAGGTAAGTTTTGGTCAAGGGAACAGGGCTATGACCAGAATCCGCATTAAAAGCTAAAGGTCTAAGTTTTAAAAGCTTTGGATAGCCCAAAAAAATGCAAATGTGTTGGCAAAAATGAGGACAAAGCACTGGATTTGGATTTGGGATTATCTTTTTTTGGGCTGTGTTGGCTTCATGCGATGTTGGTATCATGATTGGCCATGGCCATTAGCATCCTAAGCATAACGCGCTGAGGTGCTGATGCTCACTACTTGGATGACATATTATTGGTTGGCAAGGATTGGCCATGATTGAAAGAAAGCATCGCCATGTTTTGTTGGATATCTCCTTATCATTATCCCATGATATCCCCATGATGGTAGATTTGATTCTTTCATGGGTATTGCTAAAATGCCACAATTTCCATAGGAATCATCCGACCAAAATTCGCTGAGGTTCAGTCACCGATTCGCTGCGAGATCCATTAGCCATTTCCAGCACCTTGCAGTCAGTGCCTCAGGTGCGTTTCTGCTTCCAGCTTTTGGGGAATCTAAACCATTTTTCTTCAGTGACATCTTGTTGGGATTTTTTTTGAATTTATCCATTAACCAACCAGTTTGATTGATTTAATGGGGATGTGATTTGAGGTATCGAAGACTAAATCCGAATGTGAGCAAACCCAATCATAAACCATCTCCGAATTACCAACGCTAAAACATTTGGGAGAGTATAAACCAAAAAAAATGAATTTTGTCATTCGGGATTTTTTCCACAGCAGTGATATTGGCGGGTTAAACCAAGCAAACGGGTGTGTCATTAGAAAGGGAATTAAGTTGATGACGATTCGACCAAGGAATTTGGGAATTTGCCAATTCCACACTGTGCGTAACGTTCTAGATTTGATTGGCTTAGATTAGATTACATAGATATCTGAGTCAGTGTTTCAAATATCATAATATACAATTTTAGACTATCATATGATATAGTGAGATATATATATATATTTTGCGGGATGTAACAGACCAGAAGCTTCATGTTTTTCTCGTCTGAGGAGCACCTTCGACAAGTATTCAACGAAGCCACAGGCGGGGCTTTTATCGGCATCCCCAACCGCGCATTAGCGCAAGATAGATGTATTGATTGAACTTTCCATGTGTTTCAATGATACAGTTCATTTTCAATCCATGGAAATATACACTTGATATTCGTTTGATTACAGATACAGATATACAGATGATATTCGTTTGATACAGATATACCATAGATAAACTGTATCTGTAATTGATCTGTATCTGTATCAAACGAATATCATATACAGGTATCAAATACAGATGGTATATGGCTGATAAGCTTCCCAGAGATGATTTTCCCGTAAAGGGCTGTTTTCCAGGTGCCACCTGCACCCAAGTTGGGGCGCCCAGAGGGCCTGGAGATGGCTGGAGGGCCCATGGCCGATGATCGTCTCATGGGATGAAAATATCGAAAGCCTACTGATTTACTAATGGTTACCCTCTGGTAAACTAACAGGTCGCGCCGCCCTTGAGCAACTGGTGTTTTTTGCGAGCGTTGCAAGCTTTGGCCAATTGTTTGAGAAAGTGCAATGGAACATTCCCCGACAAGTTAATTTCAGTTGTCTAATCATAAGTATATATATATATATGTGTGTGTATTATTTATATAAATATACATGTGATATATATATATATATATGTTTATTTATTTATTTATTTATTTATCTGTGTGTACGTAAGTGAGAAATATATTCATGTGCATAAATATAAATTAAAGGACCGGATAACCCAACAAGTCAACTTCTTCCAATAATGAGCAACAAATGTTGTAGAGGGGAAGGGGAAGGAAGGAAAGACAAAGGAGGTGGTGGAGGATCGAGAAGTTGTGTGTGACAAAGTGGTATGTGAAAGATGGTGTGCGACAAAGAAAATGGTGTATGTGACAAAGTTTTGTGTGAAAGATCGTGTGTGTGAAAGTTGTGTGTGAAAGGTGGTGTGTGACAAAGCGGTGTATGAAAGATGGTGTGTGGCAAAAGAACAATGTGCAGGGTCCCAAGATGCCGTGCAGAGACATCAAAGCATGTCACTTACAGCTGTGACTGCACTATACGAAAAGTTCATTGTTGGATAAGAAAATGTAAAACGCCACAAAACATGAACTGAGTACAAGCTAGGCACTGGCATTTCTGCTTGGCACCCGATTTCTTCCCACTGTGGGTCAAAATCAAAACAGGACACGCGTCTTCATGAACTGATGACAGGCGAACTCCAATGAAAGGTGAATGTCACCAAGTGCCAAGCGAAACGACGGTGGATGTGACCAAGTACCACGCCTGCCACACAAAACGAAGGTGAAGTGACCAAGTGCCACGCCTGCCACGCAAAGTTAGGCGGCGTCACTGGCGACCAAGCGCGCCCAAGCGCGCCCAAGCGCGCCACCGGAGCCAGCCCAGTGCCATAAGTGCCACGCTTGCCACGCAAAACGAAGGTGGATTGACCAAGTGCCACGCCTGCCACGCAAAACGAAGGTGGATGTCACCAAGTGCCACGCCTGCCACGCAAAGTTGGGCGGCGTCACCGGCGACCAAGCGCGCCCAAGGGCGTCACCGGAGCCAGCCCAGTGCCATAAGTGCCACGCCTGCCACGCAAAACGAAGGTGCATGTCACGAAGTGCCACACCTGCCACATGAAACGAAGGCACATGTCGCCCAAGATGGTGTGTGAAAGATGGTGTGCGACCCAAAATTAAAGGACCGGATAACCCCACATGTTACCAACTTCTTTAGACTTAGACTGACCATAGAAGAGCAAGAAGGGAAGAGGAAGTATAAGAGTGATGGAGCGGTGATGGTGGGTGAGTTTGTGTGTATGTATGTATGTTCATGTACAGTGAGTGAGTGAGAGTGTGAGTGAGTGATGCGAGTGTGGTGTGTGTGAGTGAGGGATGTGAGAGTGAGTGAAGTGAGTGAAGTGAGTGAAGTGAAGTGAAGTGAAGTGAAGTGAAGTGAAGTGAAGTGAGTGAGTGGGTGAATGAGTGAGTGCGGTAGGTGAGGTAGGTGAGGTAGGTGGTGAGGTAGGTGAGGTAGGTGAGGTAGGTGAGGTAGGTGAGTTAGGTGAGGTAGGTGAGTGAGTGAGTGAGTGAGTGAGTGAGTGAGTGAGTGAGTGAGTGAGTGAGTGAGTGAGTGAATGTGAGTGAATGTGAGTGAGTGTGAGTGAGTGTGAGTGAGTGTGAGTGAATGTGAGTGAGTGTGAGTGAGTGTGAAGCCTCCCATTAACGTCCCCACCACCGGCCAACGTGGTGTCGGCTCGGCCGAAGCCGCACCGTTTGGTAAGGACGAAGGCATCGACCTCAGTGAAGAAACAGACGTAGACGGAGCACAGAAAGCGAGAAGGGAAGAGGAAGGATAAGAGTGATGGAGGGACGATGGTGGTATGTATGTAGGTAGGTAGGTAGGTAGGTATGTATTTAAGTATCTATGTATGTATGTACGTAGGGTAAGTTGTTTGTGAGTAAGTTGCTTCGCTTTCATCGAGCTCCACCAGGCTCTGATGTTTTTTTCCGACACACTATCAAAACGATGGTGTGCTCACCATACTTCCGCTGACCAAAGTAATGTTCTGCACTCTTTCGAGCGCAGCCGCACATTTTGTGATCTCTTTCTGCATGCCCTGTGGCTGGTAAACATCGCTGGCACATGATGATGATGATGATGATGATGGTGATGATGATGATGATAATGATGATGATGATGATGATGCATGTGAGTGAGTGAGTGAGTGAGTGAGTGAGTGAGTGAGTGAGTGAGTGAGTGAGGGAGTGAAGTGAAATGAAATGAAGTGAAGTGAAGTGAAGTGAAGTGAAGTGAAGTGAAGTGAGTGAGTGAGTGAGTGAGTAAGTGAGTGAGCATGTGAGCATGTGAGTGAGTGAGTGAGTGAGTGAGTGAGTGCATCCGACCCCTTGGCAGTGCACATTGTCCCACGCCTGCCACGCAAAAGAGGCGGAGCCCGAGGGACGCCAGGGCGTACATTGCACATTGTCCCACGCCTGCCACGCAAAAGAGGCGGAGCCCGAGGGACGCCAGGGCGTACATCCGACCCCTTGGCAGTGCAGATTGTCTGACGCCTGCCACGCAAAAGAGGCGGAGCCCGAGGGACGCCAGAGCGTACATCCGACCCCTTGGCAGTGCACATTGTCCCACGCCTGCCACGCAAAAGAGGCGGAGCCCGAGGGGCGCCAGAGCGTACATCCGACCCCGTGGCAGTGCGAGCCCGAGGGACGCCAGGGCGTACATCCGACCCCTTGGCAGTGCAGATTGTCCCACGCCTGCCACGCAAAAGAGGCGGAGCCCGAGGGACGCCAGGGCGTACATCCAACCCCTTGGCAGTGCACATTGTCCCACGCCTGCCACGCAAAAGCGGCGGAGACCCAAGGGACGCCAGGGCGTACATCTGACCCCTTGGCAGTGCACCTTGTCCCACGCCTGCCACGCAAAAGCGGTGGAGCCCCAAGGGACGCCAGGGCGTACATCTGACCCCTTGGCAGTGCACGTTGTCCCACGCCTGCCACGCAAAAGAGGCGGAGCCCCAAGAGACGCCAGGGCGTACATCAGACCCCTTGGCAGTGCACATTGTCCCACGCCTGCCACGCAAAAGAGGCGGAGCCCCAAGGGACGCCAGGGCGTACATCAGACCCCTTGGCAGTGCACATTGTCCCACGCCTGCCACGCAAAAGCGGCGGAGCCCCAAGGGACGCCAGGGCGTACATCCGACCCCTTGGCAGTGCACATTGTCCCACGCCTGCCACGCAAAAGCGGCGGAGCCCGAGGGACGCCAGGGCGTACATCCGACCCCTTGGCAGTGCACATTGTCCCACGCCGGCCACGCAAAAGAGGCGGAGCCCGAGGGACGCCAGGGCGTACATCCGACCCCTGGCAGTGCAGATTGTCCTGAACGCCTGCCAACGCAAAGAGCGGAGCCCCTAGGGCTGCGCCTAGGGGGGGCGTACATCCGACCCCTTGGCAGTGCACATTGTCCCACGCCTGCCACGCAAAAGCGGCGGAGACCCAAGGGACGCCAGGGCGTACATCCGAACCCTTGGCAGTGCACATGGTCCCACGCCTGCCACGCAAAAGAGGCGGAGACCCAAGGGACGCCAGGGCGTACATCCGACCCCTTGGCTGCTCACATTGTCCCACGCCTGTGAGTGGTGAGTGAGTGAGTGAGTGAGTGAGTGTAGTGAGTGAGTGAGTGAGTGAGTGAGTGAGTGAGTGAGTGCGTGAGTGCGTGCGTGAGTGCGTGGGTGAGTGAGTGAGTGCGTGAGTGAGTGAGTGAGTGAGTGAGTGAAGTGAGTGAGTGAGTGAAGTGAGTGAGTGAGGTGAGTGAGTGAGGTGAGTGAGTGGAGTGAGTGGAGTGAGTGAAGTGAGTGAAGTGAGTGAGTGAAGTGAGTGAAGTGAGTGAAGTGAGTGAAGTGAGTGAAGTGAGTGAAGGAAGTGAGTGAGTGAAGGAGTGAGTGAGTGAGTGAGTGAGTGAGTGAGTGAGTGAGTGAGTGAGTGAGTGAGTGAGTGAGTGAGTGAGTGAGTGTGAGTGAGTGAGTGAGTGAGTGACTGTGAGTGAGAGTGAGGGAGTGAGTGTGAGTGAGTGAGTGTGAGTGTGAGTGTGAGTGTGAGTGAGAGTGAGTGAGTGTGAGTGATGTGAGTGAGTGAGTGAGTGAGTGAGTGTGAGTGAGTGAGTGTGAGTGAGGAGGAGGATGATGTGAGTGAGTGAGTGAGTGTGAGTGAGGAGGACGGGCGGGCGGGCGGCGGGCGGGCGGACGGAGGCGGCGGATACAGAACTAAAAACAAAAACCCCACACGTCAATGTGGGGAACAAAGGTGGATGTCATGAAGTTCCACACCTGCCACGTGAAACGAAGGCACATGTCGCCAAAGATGGTGTGTGAAAGATCGTGTGTGACAAAGTTGTGTGTGAAAGATGGTGTGTGAAAGATGGTGGGTGACTTGATGGTGTGTGAAAGATGGTGTGTGACAAAGTTGTGTGTGAAAGATGGTGTTTGACAAAGATGGTGTGTGAAAGATGGTGGGTGACAAAGATGGTGTGTGAAAGATGGTGTGTGACAAAGTTGGTGTGTGAAAGATGGTGTTTGACAAAGATGGTGTGTGAAAGATGGTGTGTGACAAAGTTGTGTGTGACAAAGATGGTGGGTGACAAAGTTGTGTGTGAAAGATGGTGGGTGACAAAGTTGTATGTGAAAGATGGTGGATGACGCGGAAGCGGCGGAGGAGGAGGCGGAGGAGGCGGCGGGATACAGAATCAGAAACAAGAACCCCACACAAAGATGCGGGGTATGTGAAAGATGGTGGATGACGCGGAGGAGGCGGAGGAGGCGGCGGGATACAGAATCACAAACAAGAACCCCACACAAAGATGCGGGGAACAAAAAGATACATTTGACATTTGTATGTATATAATAGTGAAAATAAATGTATATGCATGCACATGTTTATATACATATATATGTATCTATCTGTGATTTTCGTTGTGTAATATTGTGTGTATATATATATATATTACCCAGGAAACCCCGAAGTTCACGAAGCAGACATTACGTGAGCAAGTTCACAGGGACGTTAATACCCCCCCACCCCACCCAAACCCCGAAGTTCACGAAGCATATATGACGTGAGCAAGTTCACAGGGACGTTAACATCCCCCCCCACCCCACCCAAACCCCGAAGTTCACGAAGCATACATGACGTGAGCAAGTTCACAGGGACGTTAACATCCCCCCCAACCCCACCCAAACCCGAAAGTTCACGAAGCATACATGACGTGAGCAAGTTCACAGGGGCGTTAACATCCCCCCCACCCCAAACCCAAAAAAAATGCAAAAAAAAAGGGGGGTTCGTTACCAGTTGCCTGGGGGCGGCGTTGGGAACATCAACTATAAACGGGCAATTTTCAATAGCTATGTTAGTTTACCGGAGGGTAATGATGGTAAATGATGGTTAATCATGATCAATATTCTATGTAATAGATATAATTATGGTGGTGTCCAGAAATAAGGGCACCCTAATAGCTGGATGGTTTATTCCACGGAAAACCCGAAGATGGAATGGAAGATTTAGGGGTACCCCCATTACTTAGGAAATCTCCATATTCTCCCATTCCAAATGAGAGAACCTCTCTTTTTCCAGACTTCAAGAAAATATGTGACGTGAAGCAACAGCAGCTCCGACGTTTCTCCAAGATGGAGAGATGGATCTCAACCATGTTTTGCTACTTAAGACTTCATGGCATCGTATAGAATGACTCAAGACCATTAAAGACGAACAATGACCGGCCTTTTGGTCCAAAATATGTCCCATTGCCATGGTGAAATCATGGTCCCATGGTGTTATACCGCTGAAATCCCATCGTTTCGTCGTTTGTTTGTCTCCATGGTTTTACCCCATTTCCAGGTTGGACCTCGAGGATGCAAAGACAAGTTCGACCTCGGCCACGAGTTCCACGGAGGTGCGACAAGTGGAAGGGAAGATGTCCATCAATGTTCCATATTGGGCAATATTAAGTCATTATAACACTGTTAATATGGGAATAAATGGGAATAATGGGAATATATCAACATCATGGGAATAGTATTAATTATAATATTGATATAGCATACCTGACATGTATTAACATTATCGGAATATGCAAATATATATATATATACATGATATATCCATTTAGAACACTATGTTAATATTTCCATTATGTCATTCAATGTTAGCAGATATTAGTCTATCATTAGTATTAACATAATGGGAATATTGATGGGGATAAGGAATATTAATAGGAATATCCATGGGAATGTTAACGGGAAAGTTAATGGCCATATCGACCAACCACAATTGTTTGGGTGTGTCTGAAAATGGGGTTGCCCCCTATTTCGGCCATTTAAACAAGGAACATGTCATGATAATCCATTAGAATTGCCATTTCTCGGCGGATTCAACCAACAATAAATCTGGGAAAATATCAACTAACTCATGGAGATAGATATGGGACATATAACAGCCAACTTGAGATTTGTGACAATGTGGTTGTTATTTGGTTGTTCTATATAAATAGTGGGAAAACATGCAAGAATATGTTTTAGGGTTGGATTGCGGGATCAACGTTGGCTGCCAAGATCCACTGCTTTTGCTTCTGATTATTGTGTCTCTATCATATTTAGTTTCAAAGACCCAAAGTCGGTTGCTAACCTCATTTTAAGTGCTTACTTAGATCCTAGTCAGGCTCAGGTTCTGCCATGGGGTGCCCAAAAATTGGAATAGTGAAAGGCACAAAATGGCCAGTCTATAAGTGTTTTCAAATTGGCTATTCAATTTGCTCATATGGTAGTATATTCTAGTATAGATGGATTTAGGTTTGACATTGTTCAATTTGACTTGTATCGATATGCCTTTCATGTGCTGTCGGCATGCCTACTGCCACAATTTTACTTGGCGATGTCCCAATATGTATGTCATCTAACCCACAGTTTTTGTTGGTTGATATCCCCCGGTGTGCCAACAGTTCATATCTCAATAGTTCCCCCTAATTTGGCGGATTAATCATATCATATTTAATCAATTTAATCATCTAAAATATTCCCCTCTTCTTATTGGTTTATATGAATGATATTATAAATCATATCTTAATGATTGGTTTATATCCCAATATGCCCCCTTTTTTCTACCGGTTCAACCAATCGCCAGCTGCTTCGCTGCCAACAGAGGCAACGCAGCCAGAGAAGTCCGAGGCAGCGACCAAAAATCGCCTGATTAAATGCAAGGTGGTGCCCCAGTTCGGAATCGCTAAGTTGGTGCAAATAACTCCAATAACTATGGGATATAGTAGATATAACTATAGTTACCCTCTGGTTATTTAACATAGCCATGGAAAATTGCCCATTTATAGATGGTTTACCTATTAAAAATGGTGGTTTTCCATGGCTATGTTAAATAACCAGATGGTAATGGGCGTTATAAACTTTTGACTGGTGATGATCATTTAGATGATCCCAGCCGCACTTTGAAAAGGTGATGATCATTTAGATGAATGACAAATATACGGAGGTGAAACCTAAGTCATGCTATTCAAAAGCCCATTTTTCATCCAGTCGTCATGGATGACCATGACTTAGTATTGAAACCCATGATTTTACAAAGGGATCCATGACTTAAGAAACCCCCATATAGAAGGACCATGGCATACTTATGAGCAAATCCATCTTCGGTGCGTTTCCCGGCTAGTAACAAAGATGGGGACATACCGTCCGCTACATTAAAGACTTGAATGTTCGGCATTTTTCTTGGCCTCACCTTCTTGTTTGCTGCCCATACCTCACTGTTTGTTGCACAACCTTCTGATGTTTGTTGCTTAAACTTCCTATTATACCTTGAACATATTTCACTGCAAGCCCGATTCTCGTTTAATAGAATCTTGGTTTTGCTCTTTTTGTGCTCCAAATCCCCATTCTTGTTGCCCAAAGTCTAATTGTTGTTGCTTGGAAACCATCTTGATAGGTGAAATATTGTTCCGGCCTTAAAGTTCCCATGTTTGGCAATATAAATCTCATGTTGTCCTATGTTTTCTAGTCAAGTCTCCATCTCTTTCGAGTTTCCCCCGACAGGTCATCTCCCCTCATGTGTCTAGCTCGCAGGGCGAGACAGAGGCAGAACTCGAGGAGAAGAGGGTCAGGAAGCCCAGGTGTTTGTTACACTTCAAAATTCAGGAAAGTGTACAATATGTAAATATGATTATGTACAGAGAATGAATATACTTAATCACTCTGTAGGTGGATGGATGGATAGATAGGTGGACGGACGGAGGGATGGATGAACAGATGGATAGATAGATAGATAGATAGGTAGGTAGATAGATAGATAGAAATAGAGAAACAGAGAGATAGAGAGATAGAAAGATAGAAAGATAGAGATAGATTAAGGTACAGATACAGAATTAGAGATAGAATTGAATGTTGATTTATATCTATCTATTTATATTCAAGTATAGATTGAGATATCTATTTAGATATAGATTTACATATTAATGCATATAAATATAGTGTATACTCTTATCATATACGATATGTGCATATTTGCAACGAAAATGAAGGTATGATCTATATATATATACATAAATGCAGAGACAACATTGCATTGCAGTACATTACATCACATTACATTATATAAATTATATAGCACTACCCTCTGGATCCCTCTGGCACACTAACATAGCCATGGAAAATCACCATGGTGATAAGTAATTCCATAGCTATGTTAGTTTGCCAGAGGGAATATGACATTATACGGCTTAGTAAACCTAGTCAAAAAAACATTTTGATATGGCATATCGCTGGATTATATGGGAGGACATTTGGCTTAGACTATAAAATATGTATCATATCATCCATTTAATCCAGTTATCCATAAAATCCATATATGAATAGTATGATCCCGTTATATGGTGTGCATACATATATATATATATATATGTATATATATACGACACACGGCTATTGTCCATATATTCCATAGATCATCCAGCCCTCGGCTGCCCCGAGGCTCAGAGTCGTCAAGCTGTTTCGGACATGTGGTACCGGCAGGCACGCGGAGCACGCAGAGTGCGGAGCGTGGGCTGAGTCATGTAAATGCAAATATTTATTCATATATATATATATACACATATTTATTGTGTATATATATATTATATATATTTACATATATACATATATACATATATACATATATACATATACACATGCACATATATATATATATATACATCCATACATGCATGCATGCATGCATACATCCATACATACATACATGCATACATACATACATGCATACATACATACATACATACATATATACTTACATATATACTTACATACATACATACATACATACATACATACTTACATACATAAATACTTACATACATACAGACACACATACAGAAACACATACAGACACACATACATACATACATACATACATACATACATACATACATACAAACACACACATACACGCATACACATATACAGACATACAGACATACAGACATACAGACATACAGACATACAGACACACATACAGACATAAAGACACACATACACACATACACACATACACACATACACACATACACACACATACACACATACACACGTACACACGTACACACGCACACACGTACACACGTACACACGTACACACGTACACACGTACACGCGTACACCCGTACACACGTACACACGTACACACGTACACACGTACACACGTACACACGCACACACGTACACACCCATAGCCTTGGAAACGATTTAGAAAACACTTTCCATGCGGACAAAGGGTCTGAGAGCCACGCCTGGAAGGCGAAAAATCAGTTTGCCCTTGTGCGTAATGCTGAAACTCTTCTCTCCTTTGTTTTTCCCGAAAACCTGCATTTCTTATGGTAACCCAAAACCATACTGGTATTGGATTGGCTTGCGACTGCTGCGCTACATGCCACATGGCCTGCAACTATCATTGCTCTCAATCCCCCTGCTCTCACAGCATGCTCACCAGCAACGCCTATCAAGTGGTCAAATATGCAAAGCTCATTTTTTGTGGCGGAGCTGATTTGCAACTGATTTGACTTGTCGTCAGTGGAGGCTGCCGCCGTGTGAACTGGCAGGAGCGTGTGGCCAAGCTGCTGGGGCACATCCATGCGGTGGAGTCATTATTCCTTGAGAGTTTGATCACCGATCACGAGGCATCTTTGGCAGCTTCGGTGCCTCCATTTGACGTGGAAAGTTGGAGCGGCTCTAATGACACACTATGCACACACGTACACACACACGTACACACGTAC